TTCAAATATTTCTTTTATATACACATATATTTATAAATTTTTTATATATAGTTTCAGAATTTAAAATTGTAGTAATTTCGAATTGAATTCACAATTTGAAATTACTTATAGCCCGCCAAAATGTGAATGCAGCCTTTAGTTTCTTGATATATATTTATCTCGCTTTTAGCTCAAATGCCATATGTGAATTGTGAACTGGTTCATATAGCTCATAGCAAGCAGCTTTGAAGCGTATGCAGTTTTACTAGTTACATTGTCGCACACTAGGTGGCGCCACTGAAATGAAATAAGTCAGAAAGATATGTATATAAAAATGTTTTTGAAAATTTCAAATATTTTGAAAGATTTATAATTGGAAGTTAGATGCAACAGATAGCGCACATACATATTGTTTTCAAATAGCTGATCATATTAATATAAAATTTGATATGATGTCCATGGAATTATTTAAAAATCTGTCAAAAACATTTAAAATCTCCTTGTTTCCATAAAAAAGTCAGCCCAAGTGTTAACTTTGTTTTGATTTGGCGGCATGTGATTTGCGCAGACTCCGCAAATGTCAAACGAGTTTGACGCCGGCGTCGCTGTCTGCGTCACTGTCTACGTCGCTGCCTGCGTCGACGTCGCTGGCTTTCATTTAACCGTTAGTCGAGTTCAGTTTTTTGGCGGCTTTCGTGTGAGGGGGACCGTGACGTAAACGCGTTAGGGACGCTGGCCATACGGCGTACGCTACGTGTCGTGAATATTACGTTAGTTATTAAAAAAATTAATATACATAGTTGCTATACAATTAAAGTGCGAGTCGTATAACTAAAATTAGACAAAATCAAAGTGAATCTGGGCTAGAGCGAAGGTGAATAATAATAAATAATAAACAAAATACTAACAAACGTTCGGCGTACACGTGGCCTGTTGTATGAGTGTGTGTGCGGGTGTGTATGTGTGTGTGTTTGTGTTTGTGGGCGTGTGTGTGTGGGTGTGGATGGATTGTTGTGTGCATGTGGCATGAAATGGAGCAAGAGAAAAAAGTTTATTACTTGAGGTCCCGCAGGGCGCTCTAATCAAGTAAAAGTAAAAGTAAAAGCAATTGGGGCTTAGTCGACGCTATTGTTGTTTTTGTTTTAGTGAAATTAACTATTTTTATTAGCTCGCCCACACACAATATGCGCATACACACAATACATATGCAGTCGGCTTTGCGTGGCATGTTGAGGATTTAGCTTGATGCAGCCCCTCGCTGGCAATTGCTTCAACGGATTGTGACCTCGTCTGGCGTTGGCGGTCGCGATTTTGGGGGTTCCTTAACCCAGCATAGTGTTTAACCTACATTGCCGGCTCCGGCTGTGGCTCTGGCTGTGGCTTTGGCTGCGGCACGTGGCGTATGCGCAATATTTTAATTAAATGTCGAAATAACTAGGATGGCAACAACTTGAAATTACGCTCGACCGAAATAACTCAAGTATTTGCTGCTTGAATGTGAATGTGAAAATCTCGAGCATTTGTACAAACGCCAGCGGACAGACTCGTCCCTGAGGCGCAACGAGTGCTTAGTACGTACCAAAAAGTCGACGCCAAGTTGCCAAGCTTAAAGCGGCCTACATTAATTACACGATTTAATCGCCACAAACGACGGACAAGTGAGTATTCCTATTCGTATCCTTGTTTTGTTGGCCTTTGCCTATCGCCCTATAAATCAATAAGACCTTTCAGTTATTACCCCGAGCAAATAGCGCTTTGTTGTTCGCCTCATGAATAATGAGCAACTTAATCACGGCGAACGCTGACTGAATGCGCCAGGGGATGTATTTAAATTTGAATGAAGCCTCTCAAGTGCACGTAAGACGGCATTTGGCCAGTTGAAGACATGCTATTGAAGAAATTCAAATTATAAATGTTTCTGATAACAAAGCCTATTATTGAGTTTAAGTTGGGGATCTTGTAAACCTTCAAGTGAAAAAAAACTGTTTTCTTTTTTAGCTAATATTTATTTAGTAAGACTGGTTTTGCTGAGTCTGCTAGACTGGAATATACCCTAAGTCCTGTGAAGAGAGCTGATATACTATGCAACTCCGCTTGGGCTGCAGTGTGGGTCATGCTTTGGGCAATTAATTCTTGAATAACTAGATGACCCTTACTCAAATTAACCAAACGTGATATTTGAAAAATAAAATGACTTGGCTTAGTATTAGAAACAAGATTTTTTAGATTTTTTAGGAAGAGTATAATACACAAAATCCGATACAAAATTTTTATATGTGCAGTGAATCTGATATATTTAGTTTTTAATTTTTCCGTAAACTACATTAGCTAGCTGGATAATAAGAAAATCGAATGAGCTATTGGAAAGGAATAATAGACTCGTGCTGTATTTGATATATTATTACACATTTAAAATTTCTAGTCCATAGTTTTTGTTGTTTATGAGATTGCTGCGTTTATACGGCCGAGCAGACAGGGATGGCTATATCGACTTAGTTCATGGTGGGGATCTAGGATATAAACTTTACTTGGTCAGCTACGCTTATTTTTTAACTTTTACATAAATTTTAACAAAATCCTTATCTCTGATTTCTTATTAGCCCTTTAAAGCTAATGAAAAATTGGGGTATTAGGGTACAAATTTATGCAATAGGCAAAAGGACGCGTGGCAGACCCGATAAACTGTATTTAGTCTTTGGCAAATCCGAAATTCTTTTACATATACAAAGTGAGGTGCGTTTTACTTATAAATTCTTGCATTTCAATAGATGAATTTGATAATTATGTAAAGAAATAAATGTTAGATCAAAGGCTGGCCTCATACAAGTGGAAATCGTGCTGCCGGAAATGCATGTTGTTTTTCTTATCAATTTGTATTATTGAGTTAGTTAGTGAAAGCAAAATTGAGTTAATATTGTTTTATGTTGTTAGAGAATTAGTTCTGAGCGCGTTCTTTTGTTTCGGCAAGTAATTCATGCCTGAGCAATTACCATTTCAATCAAAATGCTAATTTCGGCCGTCAAATACCAAACGCCAGTTTGTCCGGTGTTTGCTGTTAGGCTGTCACTCTCGCGTCCTACGTGAGTGGTTACCTGGGCAGGTTCTTTGTTGCACGCTACACGCTCCACGTCCCACCTGCCACCTCCCACCTCCCACCTCGCACGTCCATTATGCGCTTTGGCATATTTAATTATCTGGCAATTCATCAGCGTGTTTTGTGTGTGCTTTGTCTTTAATTTGCAGCTACCCCAGCTGAAATAATGGCACCCGCATGCGGAGGCACACAGAGAGAATGTTTCTCTGTTGCGATAATAATAAAACTGTAATAAACAATAAAAAAAAAAGGAGCAGAGCAACAAAGCAACAGCAGGGCGAGAGGCACGAAATATTGCCAAGTGAGGCAGTCGCAGTCACATAAATGGAATGACAATGAAAGAGGACACAGTTGCTGCCAAACAATGCGCATATGTATGTGTGGGAGGCAAGGTGTATTGCACACACGCCCGACAGCCTGCGGACAGAGAAGTCCACTGTGGGTGGCGTCGGGGCGGCGGGGCGTGACGCGCCCCTTACTTCCCTCCCCGCCCAAAGAAAAACAAAAAAGGCCAAGGCAACTGAGGCGGTCACAAATGTTGCCACAAATGTCATGTGCTCGAATTGCAACTGAACTCGTCGCTGCCTGAGTTTTGAAGCACGCCACATTACGTATACGCCCCACATTATGCTAACCCCATGCCATGAGCATTGCGTAGACGTTAAGTTGCCACAGGAATATTACCAGCAGTCACGTAGGAAAGCAAATGCTGCCTCGTCGCTTTAGTGTATGTGCGTGACTTACCATGTGTAACAGTGTGTGTGTGTGTGTGTGTGTGTGAGTATGTATGTGTGTGGGTCGCTTATCAGCCATCATAATAATTGTTGGGGCAATTCCCTGGCACTAAACTCACGCTACACGAATTCATGTGCCAGCGAGTTGGGACATACAAAAATATCTCCATGTACATATGTGTGAGTGTTGGTGTGTGTGGGTGTGTGTGTAACAGTAAACACGCGACCATTTGGTCAGCCAGCCACATTAACTGTGGCCAGTTGGAATGTTGCCCAAGGCGCTCAGTGCGAGGCATAATTACACACGCATTTGGTGGTCATAAAAAGAACATTTGTGCAGATGTATAATGCACAGAGAGAGAGAGAGAGGGAGAGAGAGAGAGAAAGAGAGAGAGAGAGAGAGGGAGAGAGAGAGAAAGAGAGAGAGAGAGGGAGAGAGAGAGAGAGAGAGAAAAAAATGTGAGAATAAAAGCTAAACAAAAAATTGCTCAGTAAATACACTCGACTATGAGATACCCTATAGGCAGAGACAGCTCACAGAACTTTTGTGAATCTAAATACATTTAAACGAAGATGCCTAGCTCACTTTACTATCATATAAAAATCAGAACTCAAGTCTGTACGTCATATACCTATTCCCTTCACATTCCTCTTTAGCTAATTCCTCCATTAGGCAGCACACGCATTCTTTTTTTGTAGGGCATACAAAAAATGTGCAGCGTAATGAAAGTTCAAC